TATATATTTTCAAAATAATATAACTTTATACTTTTTACTTTATGCAAATTCTTGGCATCTTTATAAAAATTCTTTTTTTAATTAAATCAGAAATTTTTTATCTTATTTTTTAGTTTAGAAAAAAATAAGGCGTTTTTTTAGAATTTTCTGCCTCTATTGGATCACTTTGTAAGAATAGATATTTTTTTTAGTTTTGGAGTGGATTGGGTTTTTTTTTACGCTTGATTATGATTTTGGTTTTTCAATTTTTACATTTTTTAAGTTTTTTTTTGTTTTGATCGCCTTAATTTACATTAGCAAATTTTTCTATAAAATATTTTTTATTTTTATTTTATTTTTTAGGTGGAATTGATTGCAGTGGATAATAGTGATTTTTTTTCTTTTTTCTTTTTTATTATTATTATAATTTAGCTTCTTCCTAGTGTATTTATTTTATTATTATTATTATTTTTTTTTATTTTTCCCATTATTTTAGTTTCATATTTTTATTTTACGTTATTATCGTCAATATTATATATCCTTCATTTTCATTTTGATTTTAAGTTTCAGGTTTTGATTTCAATTTCATTGCTTTATGATGTTAATATCTAAAAATAAAGAGAAAAAGAGAGCCAACGTATGAGTAATTACTTAAAATCTGCATTCCACTTTTGCACAATAGTACTATTCCTTAAACTCTTTCACCATTTATAATATACTCTAATTAAACCTAATTACACATTGGTATTAATTCAAGAATGTTCTTAAACAATTGATACATTAAGTGTAAATATAGGTATGAAACTTACAAAATTAATTTATTATAGAAATCTTCAAGAGAGTGCATCTCTGAAGTAATCGAAGTACCTGTTATAGAAATCAAGATCTAAAGATAAAAATAATTATTTTGATTAGAGAACCTGAAACTCTAAATAATTCAGTGATGTATGTATTTTAAACGAGTACATGAGATACTCTAATGAAACCTAATTATACATGGGTATTATTCCAAGGATGTAGTTGAACAATTGATGCATTAAGTGTAAGTATAGGTATAAAACTTACTTGAAATCTTCAAGTAGAGTACTTCTTCACAAGTGATCAAAATTGACGCATTAAGTTAAATATAGGTATGAAAATTACTTGATAATTAGACCATAAAAATCTTCTCAGTAGAGTGCTTCTCCAACAAGTGTTCATTTTAAAAATGAGTATATAACATTGCTGAGATTTGAAAATTTTCAGAATGTAAATAAAATCTCGTCAGAATATGGCATTAACATTTTATACCAAAGCTCACCTAAATAAGTATAAACTCAATAAAACTTGCCTCAGTTTTAGATGTTCTTTTTAGAATATAACAAGGTCAGAACTGGATAATTAAGTTTGAAAGTAGAATTTTTATTGAAGATACTCCATTAATAAATGATTGATCATAGTGAAATGTAAAACCTTTAATAAAATTTCAAGATCTAGAAAATAAAAATAATTTTTTATTGATTAGAGAAACCTGAAACTTTAAATAATTTAGTGATATATGTGTTCTAACAAGTTCATATTACACATGGGTATTAATCTAAAAATGTCTTTAAACAGTTGATATATTTAGGTGTAAGCATAGGTATGAAATTTATCTTTATAATTTAAGTTTGTTATTATCGCAGAAAACTTCCTTTAGTAATAATTTGTAAATATAGTTGTTAACATTATGATTAAAAAAACATTTTAATATATTTAACGATTTAAATATACTATAAGAAATATATTTTTTTGTTTGTTTAAAGTGTAACAAGCAAGAGTTATGATATGATAATGAAGGTACGTTCCACTTATTTTTGATTTTTGTATTAAAACAAAATTTGGAAGAAATAGTTGAAGTTGTTTCATCTTGTGAAATGTTTTTTCAAAAGTGTAAATATTTTTATTAGGAAGATAAACACGTAAAGTATATATAAATATATATTCAGCACGCGTAGCATAGTCATAAAGATCATGCTGCTTTTAGAAATATTAACTTTGTCAAGTGGAAAAAATTTGAACTTTTTTAAACATACTCACAATTATATCTAAAGACTCATTATTTGAATTGTGATTTTATATTATAATTTAAACTGATTGATATAAAGAAAGATAACAAATTTATAATTGTTAATCATATGATTTAGTAATCAAGTCAATAAATCTTGTTTATTTTATCGAACCATAAATTTCATTTGCAAGAATTAGTAAATTTTAATTAGGATTTAACATCAAACATCTTATCATTAATAATTATGTATAGTAAATTCATCAAAACCATGAATCATTAATGAATTTTTATGATTAATAATGTTTTAATTTATTTCAAAAATACAACGAAATTGCAAACCTGCTAAATTAATATTTTATGTTAACTAGTGGTTGTACTTTTTTATTATATAAAATGATTTTGATCATTATCCTCTCAAACAATTTCTATTTCATGATGAAAAAAGTTCTTTCAAACAATAAAGAAATCACTCAAGAGAACAATGACGAAATCATGTGTTTCTGATTAACAAAGCAAAGAAAGAAAATCCTCTTTATTACTAAGTGAAAGATAAAACTAGAGAAAAAAGAATGATAAATTAAAATGCAGAAAAATATATGTTTAACTGTGAAAATGAACGCTTAGTATTATTAGTTATTTATTTTCTCTCGAGGTCCAGGTTTATAAGTTTTGTTGAAGTGTGTAAACTATTTTCTAATGACATGTTTATTAAGTTCTTTATTTTAAAAAATATTGACAAAAATTAATCCACTTGTTTTTAGTTCGCAAAAATCAGGTCACTGATCAGGTCACACAAACTCATCAGCCAATAATCTTTGAAGAGATTTGATAACGAGCGAGCTGATAATTTAAAATGTGTCAAATTAATGTCCATAATCGTCTGAACCAAGCGAATGTATCAAAAATGATGTATCTTCGACACACATGGGCCTGGTTTAGGTTTTTTTTTTATTGGAGGTTTAGTTAAAATTCGTTCGCTTGAAAATTTTTTTTTTTTTTTTTTTGCGTTTACTAGTAATAAAAATTAAATTTTTTAAAAAATAAGGTCAGCAAAGGGGGATGGACCAGTTTTTATTTTTATTTCTATCCAAAAAAAATAATGATAATAATGTTTTAAAAAAAATAAAAAATCGTCATCTCCGTAGTAAAATAAATTTTAAAAATAAAATTTTAAATAATTCGTCACTAAAAAAAAATTATCGCTCAGTAGTAATTTTTTTTTAAAAGAACAATAAAAAAAAAAAACCACATAACCCTAGCTAAAAAAATAAATTCACCGTCTAGTAATAAAATAAATTCTTTTTAAAAAAAAAAAATTCATCGCTTCTAATAAAAAATAAAATTTATTTTAAAAAATTTAACGCCTCTGTAAATTTTCTTTTTAAAAAATTACCTTTGTAAATTGCTACCATCATCACAATCCAAAATTTATTATAACAAAAAAAAAATAAAATAAAATTTGACGAACCATTTTTTTTTTCTAATTAGATGATCGCGTTTAAAGTTACGTACGCAACACAGCATTTTTTACAAAAACTTGACCCTCAACTTTATGAAAATACTTTGATGTGAGTTGAACTTTTATTTGTCTTTTTATTGGTTGCAATTCTACAGATTAAAAGGAATGATGCCATAAATCCTTGACTTATATCGGAATTATGTCATTTACAGTGAACACTTAACCTATTATAATAATTATTATATTTTTTATTAAAAAAGATGTCGAAACAGAAGACTAATACACAAGAGTGCGTCGCTACTATAGATTCGGTGCTCTTAAATATAATACCTGCAGAAAATAAATTAACCACAATTAACTCTAGTATTCAGTATTAGCAGCAACTGAGGATCGTTACTTCCATTTTTAAAAAGTCGAAGAAAGAATTTACAAGAACAATCATTTAGTGACGTAAACGGATTATCACTAACACCGTATAAATAACAACAAAGACATAGTTTTTGTGTTATCAAATTACCTAAAATATATTGTTTTATATTCAAAGTATTCACAAATCTCGTGAGGGATAATGGTATAACCTTTCACACTTTATGCTTCAAGAATTAGCTTTATCAATATTAACATCCCTATCCTGAAAAGATTTTGATAATGTGTTTTCATTATATAAAACAAGATGAACTATTGGTATGTATGCCATTCCAAATTTAATTTTATACAGGTAACTTCCCACTTGACATGCTTTGTTTTCTGCGAAAATTTATAGAGCTGATGTGATCAATCGATACCGCCGGGTCACAGATGACAAAATGATACAAATTCTTTCTAGTTCGGATTACAGAAACTTAGCTCAATTAATTAAGTTTTGTTTTGGCTTGTTTAGTTTAACGTTCCGATTCCAAAGTTACGCTTGATTAATCATACGAATTTTGTTTTAAGAAAAAAAATCCAGCCGAACCATTCGAAAAACTTCTAAGGAATTCACACTCATGAAACATTGCATAGCATTATTGAAGCAACATTGCCGTTCACAAACGTAAGTTTGTCAACACATTTTATTAGGAAAAAATGTATATTCGCTTTCTTTAAATGAATGCTTAATTCTGTCAATGATAATGAAGTTTCTCTTTATAATATGGAAATTAATCAATATTAGTTCTAAGGTCTTGATGAAGTAAAATAATCAAATTAGAATTAAATTAAGAGGAATGTTAGTATAGGAAATAGATGATGTGAAGAATTGCAAAGCATTCGCTGGAAATAGAAGGGAAACTTTGGGGCCAGATATGTAACCTTTAAATTAGAATTTATTCATAAACTTTGATTTCTTTTTTAAAAAGAAGTTCTTGTATTGATAAAACTATCTTTATTTTTCCCTATAAATTAAAATTCTGATAGATTTTTTATTTATATTAGTTAACAAATATTTAGATTTTAATTATAATAAATATTATGATAAAATATTATTTAATATAAACTTATTATAAAAAAAAAAAAAAAAAAATAAGATACATATTAAGTGAAATAAGAAATTTATCAATTAAAATTTTCAGTTTGATTTTTAGAATTATTTAAACTAAAAAAATACACTTTTATTCTTTTTATATATATTTTTTATTTAATTGAAAAAAATAATAGATTTCGGATGAATTTACTGATCTATGAAATATATTCTTGATATAGTTCCCTCCTCTTCATCTCCCTCTTCTATTTCTCCTTCTTCATTTTTATCTTCATCTCCTTTATCGTCATCTTTCTCCATATTTTACATTCATAACTTTAAATAGAAAATAAAATTATAAATGTTATAAAAAAAGTTATAATTTTGAAATAGGCTAATGATCAAATTTTAAAGGTACTTACTTTCTAATTCCTCCAAGAGGTCAACAATAATACGTACTTGCCTATCACGCTCCAATTCTAACAATTCCTGCAGCCCTATTTCCTCATCGAGGTTTGCTCGGAGTTTCGTTAGCGCGAGCGTCTTCCGTTACTACTTGATTCATGAATGATGTTCCTCGATCCGTAAGTATCTCTTCAGGTGCACCATATCGGCATATGACTTCTTCATACAGAAACTTTGCTACTGTGTCAGCTTTAATGTCCTTGATGGCTCTGGCTTCTGGTTCCTCGATCACACCTTCATAGCTCGGAGGCTCCTCATAAACCTCGAGTAGTTGCTGTTGCAACTCTTGCGACTGCTGTTATTGCTGCTGGTGTTGTGTTAGTTATAGTTGTTGTTGTTGCTGCCGCTGCTGTCGCTGTCGTTGATGCCTTCTTTTTCAAAGAAATTTTCGAGATATCCAATTAATTTTTTCTTTTGTTGTTTTTTTGGTTCCGTTAAATGAAAAAAATTTCCAAACAATTAATTTTATGCCTCTCTGCTCTTCCATGCATTTCGGATTCTTGACACGGATGAAATTAACTAATATAATAAGATAATTATACTTTGCCGTGGAGTAATTTGCAACAGCAAAGTTTAATTATCTGAACCGGATAATTATAACGTAACTTCAGGGGTAATCGCCGATAACTCCACAGTTACTATGAGCAATGCATTGATTGGATTTTGCCACTTCGTGGCAAAATATGCATTGCTTACCGTGAACTGTACGTCGAACGTCATCTTTGCAACACATTCTTGAGCTTCAAGAGGATCCCAAAAAATTTTTTCTCCCTTAAATCGTTCTTCTACAATTAAAATATCCGCGACGTAGTGTTGTTCTAGAGCATGACCATCATGGAACAGTTCATATCTTGATCCTGAAATATTTGATATTTGGCAAAGCAAATATAACAACTTGGTTGCAAGAACGAATTTATTCTCTAGCACTACCAAAGTTTCGTAGGTTCCCTTTCCCTTTGAGCTGTTGTTTAGGCAAAATAAAAGTTTCGTTAAGTTGTAAATTTAGGTAAAATAAAGGTTTCGTTGAAGTTGTAATTATAACAATTTAAAAAATTATAAACACAATTAAGAAAGAAAGCAGCAAAAAAAAAGGAAAAAAGCCAATATATATATGTTTTTGAACCCATATAATTTAGTCACGCGATACTCCAGTGATGACCTCATTTGGCTATTTTGAAATGACCGAAAAGAAAATTTTTTTTTTTGAGTTGTATATGAAGGTATTACAAATGATCAAATCTTTAAAAGAATAAAAGAAACTTCTGGAACGTTTAATTTTGCTGTATTTTCCGAAAAAAAAAATAAATTTTTTTAATCGTGAATTATATAATGTTGAAAATTTTTTTAGGAAATCATCGAATTATCAAATTGTTTATTTGATTTATTTGATTACAAATAGTCAGAATAAAATTACAAAAGTCTGAATTTTATTAATGGTACAGTACGTCTATACTCATATCTCATAAAACTACTACATTCTCATAATATTTTTGGTCACAATAATTCACGTGATTTATTTAAAATCATGTGATTTATATAAATTCATATGAGCGTCCTTATCCTAGACCCGGTTCAGGATGAAAATTATAGACCCCCGGGGTTCAGGCAGACCCCCTCTCCTTTTTTAGTAATTCATAAATCTGCAAACTGATTACCTTTTAAAGTATTTATTTTCCATAGTATAGCTGATTATCACAAATTTTTTTTTTTCTTTTTTTAACGAAAAATAAAAATTTTCAACTTTCTTTTAACAATAAACTAAAAGAATATATTTGGTTCTACTATTTTTTTTAACAAATTTTTTTCGAAAAAATATTTGTTTAAAGTATGAAATTTATTTGCAAGCTGAATACTAAAGTTACGCATTTACATTAATTTAAAAGATCGGATATTTTATTGATTGAAAAAATAAATATTGTCAAATCCAAAATCCAAAATTTTATACTTTTTAACAAGACAAACCTAGTAATGAAAATAAAAAAGAGTTAAAATGATAAAGAAAATGGAACATGCTAATAAAAAATGGGAACAATAAAAAGAAGAGTAAGAAACAAAAAAAAAATGAAGAAGAAATAATGAGGAACAGAGGGCAACAAAAGAAACGGAGGGTGAATTAAAAAAAAAAAAAAGAAACAAAAGAGTGAATGAAAAGAACAAGGGGGAATGAAAAGAATAATAGGAGACGATGAGATTAAAGGGAGATTCAGTAAAAATGGGATGAAACAATGATTAGAAGACAAAAAGGAAATGAAAGTAACAATGGAAAACAAAAAGATAAGGAATAAAAAAATGAAGGGGACCAGGTAATAAGCAAAACCCATAAAAGAAGTAAAGTTAGTAAAATGTACATATAATTTTAAGAAAAATAAAAAATAAAAATAAAAGAAAATAAAAACACACCTTAATTGCAGAGAAGAACCAAAAAACTTAAAAAGAACGAAATAGAGTTAATAAAGAGGAACGAAGTATAAAATCTGAAATAAAAAAATAATAAACATATCTTAATTGCAGAAAAAAACTAAAAGAACGAAATAAAGTTAGTAAGGAATGAAATGTAAGGAACAAAGTGTAAGAGACAAAATAAAAAAAAAAATAAAAACTTTACAGAAACACATAAAATTGGACTACGTATAATACGTGTTAATCTAAGTTTTCAGCTTTATATTTTATCAATAGCATTTAACATAATGGAGATACATTGTCATTTGGAAAACAAGCGGCACCATATCAATACAGCTTAAATTGCGTTCATTTTTTTTTTACAACCCTTTTCTCATCAAAATTAATATCATAATTATATGTATGTTACTGCAGAATTAATAGAAAAGTTGGATAAATTGAATTAAAGAAACGTGCCGGAGGCGCATTAACGGTTTTTTCGAAACAATTGGTATAATTTCGCACAGTTACTAGTTATGTTGTCTAATTAAACCTTTTTTAAATTACAGAATATGGCCCAGACCATTGCGTAAAGTAAAAGTATAACTGATAATTTATCATGGATGCATGGTAGTGTTTTGGGATCTGTTTGTTTTTGAAGGACCAGGTAAAAAAAAGGAAATTTATATTCCCTAATTTTAATAAAATATTAATGTTGTAGATATAAGAATATTTGTTCAAGACTTAAATACTACACAATAGCATATATATCGTCTGACCTAGAATCATACTGGATAACTTAAAATACTTTATACATTTGAAAAGGTCGATGTTATAAGCGCATGAGAAGAAACATTCCTAAGTTGATGTTAGCACTCAATTCATAAAAAATTATGGCTGTAAGTTTTTTTAATTGGTGAATATTTTAACGTATATAATAATAATAGAAAGTTCGAAAGGATATACTTGATCAAGTTCTAGCAAATGTATATGACTGCCAAGCTTGGTTGGTAGAGCCGTTCATTGCTTTACTTATAGTTAAATAGTATCAGACCGTGACAATGCCATTGATACTTTGGATGCTTTATCAAATGCTTGTGAACTCGATTTTTAATTGATTCGTTTCAAATAAGTTTTGCAATAGATAATCCTTTATTAAGAAAGATCTATTTGGTTGGCCTTTTGAATTATCTCAAGGAAGTTTAAAAAGAATGCATTACCAGATTTGTCATCAAATGGTTCAACCAATTTTTTTGCATACAAGATCGAAATGGTATAGTTAGAAAAGTTGCACAGGCCTGTTTACGACCTATAGTAAAAATTGCCAGATATAATAGCAAAATGCGATGATTTGAAAGGAGCAGTTAAACAGACAATTATGCCGATGATAAAACAAACAGACCTAGTAGCACTGATTTGAGAAAAGGATACGACTTGCTACATCATCAGACAAGGATAATGCTGATGCAGAATATTTAGAATAGATAAAGAGCAACGAAATTGCCACCAGGATTAATTCTTAGACCATCAACTAATTCAATATTTAATAAACCTACATTTGGACCAGCTTCTTTATTAACAGCACTTTCTTAAAGAGTTGGAATTTCAAGTGGTATTGGTAGAGGGGTACCACTTCCATCATGATTATAGTTCTTCAAATTCGTTCGAGTATGAATGGTGCAAATGGAAATTCCTACAATATCTAATGGTTCCATCGACAAGAAAGATTTGTCTAATATAGAAGTTGATAATTTAGAACATTCATTATCAATAAATATTGAAATAAATGTGATCCCGCATTCTTCAGGATAACCCCTGCCAAACAACGAACATTTGAGCTCAGTTCTGTTTTAAAATTATTAGTACAGAGTTACAACAAAGTAATAAGGCATCAGATAAATATTTGAATATTTTTCCTGAATCTATTATTCATGAGTATAAATAATTAAGCATTTCAAGTTCGAATTTCTCATACACAGCTTCAACCATAATCTCAGAGTTTGATTCGACTATGTAAACATCCTGTTAACACTGTGTATTAGTACTATTATTTCTCAAATAAAAATTTGGCATCTCAAGGTTTCTGAGCTAGTATATCATTTATTAGATCTAATCTATAATAGTGGGTGATAGTCAAATAGCAATCATAACGGAACATATAGGTGAGAGAGAATTTTTCCTATATAATGAAAATATCAATACTTATTAATCATTACTAATTATTATATCTTCATTAAGGTTGCTGGGCTAAACCCGAAAGTTTCGACAGCATCGAAATCGAAACCCGTTGAAACCATCGAAATCCATCGAAATCGAAAGATTGAAATTAGTTCACTAATTTAAATACTAGATAACTCATCATCTGCTTTTCGTGAGGTTGATGCGACTGCTGATTCCACACAAAAAGTTTACCGAACTAATTTGAAATGTTTATGGAAACTAGTAAAATAATTTATAAGCTAGTATACTTTTGAATC